AATAGACAAAATAATTACAGCACTTGATGATATAAATAGTATCAAAAAATTCATACAATACAAACTAACAACACAACCTATACAGCATCAGATCCTAAAAGCTATACTTCTTAAATTTAAATACTTAGACCCTGCATTTTTCACATCCTTTACCCAAAATAGACAAACCACATCTGCACATCAAAAAGAATTCACCAATCTATTCAAAGCGGCTATTACCAAATACAAAGAAAAAAATGAAATCATCCTGACAAACAGAGAGACTAAAGATATAATTCAACACAAACTAAGACAAAAATTAATGATAGAATATCTTACAAACCTCAACTTTAGACAACTTCAGCCAAGCAAAACATATCAGATAATCAAATATAGTCGAAACTTCATTCATACAAAACCTATTTAAAACTATAAACAAATCTAAACAGCAGTTAACCAAGTATACAGCATCTAATGACAACAACTACCTAAAACCCTAGAGGAAATAGACAGCTAAACCAAGAACATACTATTATTCAAACTACTAATCAAGCAAAGATCTCAAACAAAAGCAATTGTTAACTCCCTTAGAGTAATCTTTAACTTCCCTAGTCTATTAGACACCTATTTTACTGCACTACTAAAACTCCCAGACAAACTATCAGAATTAAAAGAAGAACTAAAAATCTATTTCTCTATTATGGATCCAAAACAACTAAAAGAACTACAATTTTATAAAAAGAAACTTATTGACCACTACAGTTTCACTCAGATATCTGCAATATACTTTGCTCTATCATCAGAACAAGAACCTTTATCACTAATCTACCATGAACTAAATAGTGAAGTTAGATACCTCTTCTCTATTAACCTATCATTAGAAGAAACAAAATCAAAAATATAGCAGAAATGCTTAGAAAATACTACAAGTTTAGGAGTATATCAAATGACTTCTTTGTATAAAAGCCTGTACTATCACAAGATCCAGATAAAATCAGACTACATATCCAATTCATTTATCTAATTACTGATAACAAAATAGCACAAGAATTCTTTAAGAAAGCAAAGACAAAATATAAGATAAGCTTCCCTATAAATAAGACAAGCCTGATAGCCAATCCTACAAATAAATCAAGATTACTTTTAGACCCTACAAAGATTAAAGCATTTAATATTATGCTACCAATTATATTATCTAGAATACTGGTAGAAACAGTTAGACTCTTTAGAGAAGAATATTACATTGAACACATTCTACTAGATTGGATCAATATACCTATCACATCTAATGAAATCCACAAGATCAAAACTAACAAAAAACTAATGATACCAAAAAGCCTAGTTGACCTACAAGACACACTTGAAAAAATCACTGACAAAATCTACATCAACGTATCCATCAAACAACAAAAGAAAGTCAACTCCACTATAGCAATCCTTCAACAACACTATGAAATATCACAAATTCCAGACTATATACTAGAACTCCCTCCTCTCTCAAAACTAACTTGGGATATCTTTGTATAATTATGTCAATATCTAAAAACTACAATATAAACAAATATATAACTAATACAAACAATATAGAAAACTATATACAAACAGACACTATTAACTTAGCTCTATACAATATACATAGACTCAACAATAATATTAAAAGACAACTATGACTTGACTATTGTAAAAAGAAAAATATAGATATAATAAGCATAACAGAAACTAAGCTCACAGAATCAAAATATACAAATCTACAACTACATAATGAGATATACTACTTTTACACATCAAATACCACAGCAACAACAGTAAAAAAAACAAGAATTAAGCATAGGAGTTGCAATAGTACTATACAAAAAATACAACCATATATACATAATATACAAATCTATCCAGAAACAGCACTTAGTATTGACATATTTCTACCATACAAAAATCAATTTCAAATTATAGCAACATATTTACCTTGCAATAACAAACAACTTTATAACTCAACTCAATCTAAAATAATAGAATAGACAGAACAAGCAAATAAACAAAAGATTAAACCGATCATCTTCAAAGACTTCAACCTAGACCTTAACAAAAAACACACACATACTACTCTAATACAATATCTAAAAAACACAAATATGCTATCATTAATTAACACATTATTACTAAACCAACCTATATGGAGTTTTCAACGAACTAGCAGTCAAATAGATGAGATATAGATTCCAAAAAATTCAATAGAAAACTTCCACAACCTAATACTAAAAGATGCTATACATATCACAAACAGCAATCACAAGATTATTTTCACATCAGTCAACATACTACATATATAAAAAAGAAGTAAAAATAAAACAAAGAGAACAATCTATAATTACGATATAATGGATACAGAAACATAGAAACAATTTGCAAACATAATCAAAACAAAACTTATATAATTTAAAACAAATACACTAAGCCCTAATACAAAAAGCCTTAACAAAACATAGCATATATTAACAAACTTATTAAACAAAGTGCAAACAAACACATTCCATATACACACAAAGCAACACAAAATAATAATCACATATTCTTCCCTACAGCTACCAAACTACACAAGGCACTAATATATATAAACAAAGCACAAAAACATATAAATATTGTAATATTTATTAACATTTTTCTTATAATTTTCCTTAAATTTTATTATATATTTTATATGTTTATTATATATTTTATCATTTTATTAGTTTATTTACATAGTTTATAACATATTTTATTTATTTTAGATATTTTTACAATAGTTTATTACATATTTTATTAGTATCCTTTTTACAGAATTTTATTTAATTGATAATCCGCCTATGAACTGAAGAATAAGCGAAATGAGACGTCTGTCATCTAAAACTTTATTTCTTACTAAGTTAATGAAACATGCTTACTAATTGAAAGTCGTAGAGCTCGTCGAGATGCATCTAACGGTGGTTAGATCATCCAAATCGGCCTAGTAGATGGCAAGATATCGTCGAAATATGATTGGCCGACTATATAAAAATCTGTGACTGAAATTACATATGAAAATCGCCATCAGCGAAATGTGGCGTGCTCCCATCTAAAATTTTTTTCTTACTAAGTTAACAACACATGCCCATTAATTGAAAATTGTAGAGCTCGTCAAGACGCATCTAACGGTGGTTAGATCATCCAAATCGGCTTAGTGGATGGCGAGATATCATTGAAAAACGATTGGCCAACTATATAAAATTTCTATGTAAACAAACATTGTTTATATAGAGATTTTATATAGTCGATCAATCGTTTTTCAATGATATCTCGCTATTCACTGGGCCGATTTGGATGATCTTACCACCGTTAGATGCGTCTTGACGAGCTCTACAATTTTTAATTAATGAGCATGTATCGTTAACTTAGGCCAGGCCAATTTAATTTTCTGTTTAACATAACCCCCCCCCCTCAATTTTTTAAAAAATCATATATAAAAAAACATCATTTTAACCAATCAAATTGCAGTATTAGTTTTTTATATTTTTACATTTTTTACAGCCAATAGAATCATTGTATTTTTATTAATTTGTTTTTTTTTATGCCCCTCCCCCCCACTCTTATGAGCTATTTTATTTTATGTTAAACAGAAAATCAATTTGGAGTGGCCTTAGTTAAATATGATAATTTTATTTTTGTTCTATTTATTTATCGATTTTTATTTTTTTTTCGATTTGAATTCAGAGATCACTCAAAAAGACCAACACCATTAGAATTGCTTGCAAGACCTTTTTTTAGTGAAGGGTCTCCCAGCTTTTTGGATACACCTTTAAAGTTCATCATGTCAACAGGTTTAGTAAAATCTAAGAGTTATTATTATTACTATTATAATTGCACTTCTGAGAATCATTATTAATTGGTTTTATAGGAACTAAAAATATTACACCACCGTTCATAAAAGAGAATGACGAATTAGCTGGTAGTTTTGGTGAAGGCATTCATCAACATACATTTTCCCCACCAAAACCTTCACAGCATCATGCTTTATTTTCAAGATATAAACTTGATTTCGAAGAAATTGAGTTCCTCGGCAAAGGTATTTGGTACACTATGCATTAAAGACGATGATCGATTAAAAATTGATTAATTATATGATTGATCCTTTGGTCATTTTTTTAGCTTATTTTTATTTATTTATTTTTTATTATTGAATAATGATAGTGTTCCAGATTGAATTGAATATTTATTACATTCGATTTTTGTTATACTTGATTGTATTGATAAAAAAAACTAAGATGCCAATAATATAAAAATAATTAGTTTTAATGTGATCGATCATCATCTCTGCTATACATTATTATATTTATTTTTCTTAATAAAATGAATTCTATTTATTTAGGTGGGTTTGGTGAGGTAGTAAAGGCTAAAAACAAACTCGACGGAAGGTATGAAAATTTTGGAGATAATCATCATTTCCAATGTCTCATTATTTGTTCTGATTAATCTTGTTGTAAAGGTATTACGCAATAAAAAAAGTGCGTCTAAATCCCAGTGACATTGAAAAAACCCGCAAGATTTTGCGGGAGGTAACCACATTATCTCGATTGCATCATCAATATGTTGTCCGCTATTATACAACCTGGTTTGAAGGTAATGTTTATTTTGTTAGAATATTTATTATGCTTAACGTAATACATCAACGAATTAAGTGTATTTTCCATGTATATTCGTTTTATTGAACAGATTCGGATGGCTCTTTGAATGAGACAGAGACCTTTAGCGAAGACATTACTGGCGCTGTTAATGAGTCCTTAGATCCTGATGGTTATCCTGATGATTATCCTGATGATGACGATTTTGATTTTTTTGCTGCTGATGCATCCAGTAGCAGAAAATTTATAGGATCATCATCATCATCTTCAGATTCTGAATTTGAAATAATGCAAGATGAGATAACAAGAGGAGTTGGTGTAGCAAGAAATAAGACTGTTTCCAGAAAGACGTTGGCCAGAGAGGAGAAATATCGTATACTCTATATACAAATGGAATATTGTGAAAATAAAACCTTGAAAGATATCATTGATACAGGCGTAAAGGAAGATGAAGGTTGGAGGTTGGTTAATTTTTTATATTTTGCTTGCAACATATTTTTTCCATAAACTTATAAAAAAAAAATGGGCCAACAGAATTTTTCGACAAATAGTGGAAGGGCTTGGTATGCTAATTTAATTCTTTATTGAAATTTATCGTTTTATATAATTACTGACGATATCTTTTATTTGTTTAAAGTACATATTCATCGCAGTGTATGTAAAGAAATGAATTCTGATTATTTTAATTATTCTTATAAAATTTACTCATTTTAATTTATACAATATAGGGAATGGTAATTTTTATATATTTAATAGCATAAAAGGTTTGTTTATTAATATAAAAAAGTATGACCTATTGTTATCTGATCATTAGATTCATCGAGATTTAAAACCAAGTAATATTTTTTTGGACAAAAACGGCGATGTGAAGGTAATAAACATTAGAAGTATATTCAATTATGCGTTTTGATAATGTAGAACTATTTCAATATATAGATTGGGGATTTTGGATTGGCTACCACGAATGAAAATGATGCATTATTTGATCCGGGTACTTTCAGAATGTCAACTTTTTACAGAATGAACAATAGAGAAGATTCAATGACTGGAGGTATTTGTTTCATTTTACCTTGTAAAATGTGTTACCATCTTATTTATTAATTACAATTTCTATTTAGATGTCGGAACGCTCCTTTACGGCGCGCCTGAGGTTGCTACCAATGCTGTCGTGGGAACCCGCTATAACCAAAAAGGTACGATGCTGCAGAATGTTTAAAACACATTACAATAAGTGATGCTAATAATATTTTTATTCAGTGGATATATATTCCTTAGGTAAGATACGACTGCTTGCTTTTAAGTATCAATTAAAGTTATAAACTCTTTATTATTGGAAACTTTATAGGAATTATTTTATTTGAAATTTTCTACAAATTTACTACTGAAATGGAACGTCGAATGGTAAAGCCAATCATTGTGTGATATATATATTTGATATTTAGATCTCTGCGATTATATAATGGTAATGTTTAAATAAAAACCAGACTATCTTAAACCTTCGAAAGCCTGAGATAAACTTTCCAAAAGATTTTCCATTTGAAAAAATGGACAAACAGGCACATATTATTCGTTTGTGCATGCAACATAATTCTAAAAATCGACCTACAAGCGTAGATCTTTTAAAAAGTGAATGGTTACCAGCTAAAATTGAAGATGAACATTTGCAAGAAATCGTTAGAACAATGGGTTTGTTTTTTAGGTTCGATCAGAATTACCAATTGTAATAAATAAATACGTGTACTTAATCCTTAGCAATTTTTTTTTATAAATTAGTTAACCCAAACACCCCACACTATCGATCTTTAATGTTGGAGCTGTTTGCTCAATCATCAGATAAACATAAAGATTACACTTATGACTTTGTAATGTATAGTTTTAAATTTTAATCATTTGTTTTATAGTTAAGTCTAACCATAGTTATTTACAGGGGAATGTTTCTTTTAACGTGTCGAGTGCGCTAACGTTTGGAAGAGTACGCGATTATATGGTCAAGATATTTCGCCATCATGGCGCAGTTGAATTAATCACTCCGTTGTTGATGCCCAAATCTGATATATATGTTGAGGACAAAAAGGCAGTTTATTTAATTGATTCAGACGGAGGAATTGTACAGGTTAGAAATCAGCTTATTTGAATTCTCAAAAGTTGAATTATCGATAATTAATGAATGTAATAACTGTAGCTTCCCTATGACTTGACGGTACCTTTCTCGAGATATATTTCACGTAACAATATTACAGATCTGAAAAGATATGCATTCGATAGAGTATACAGGTAAAGTTTTAACATAGCAAAGAGACTCTATGCCAGTAATGACATATTTACTACATTATATATAGGGAAAACATTGTTGGGCAACCTCGTATAGTTAATGAAGCTGATTTTGATATAATCCATTCAACACCTGCTCCTATGGTTGCTGAAGCAGAAATAATAAAAGTCGTTGATGAAATTCTTGAAGAATTCCCACCATTAAAAACGAACAATTATTGTTTTTTTGTAAATCATACGAGCATCGTAGAAACAATTTTTGATTGCTGTAGAATACCTGAGGATATTCGGCGTGGTGTATATAATTTACTCGGCCAACTTGACAAGAAATGTACGATGAATCAAATCAGAACACAACTTATGGACAAATATAACTTGTCAAGGAGTGTGCTGGATGAGCTAGTTCTTTTTGATATTAGAGGTAATTCTTTAACTATTAAATACGTAAATTCATTTTATGTTTTAATAATTTCTTATGATGCGGTTTTAGGTGATCTGGATTCAATCTCAACTACTTTGGACAAGTTGATTCCAGCAGGTAACATGCGTAAACGAATACATGAGGCAATTAACGATTTCAAACTTTTGTTGACATACATACAATGCCTTGACGTTCGTCATAATATTATATTTGTACCATTGTTAACGTAAGAACACACAAAGTAATGATATCTATTTTTCATTTGAACTATTCTAATATACGTTTATTTACGTTAGGTATAATAATCATTATTACAAGAATGGAATGATCTTTCAAACTGTTGACAGTAGTCGGAAAGACGTGATTGCTGCTGGTGGAAGATACGACTCATTAATACAAAAATTTCGGCATCCTATAGCAAGTGGAGCATCTGTTGGTCGGCAACAAATATTCGCAGTTGGAGTTAACATAGCAGTACAAAAAATAGTCATTGCTCTAGAAACTTATCAAAGCGCCATATCTAAAATGATTCAAAAAAAGAAGCTTGAAGAGGAAAGGAGTTTTGGATTTTGGGCACCAAAAAAGGCATATATAATAACTTATTTACTCATACAGAAAACTATAGGTTAATCATATTTATTTATGTCTTATATTGTTATTAAATGTAGTGCGATGTATACGTTGCAAGTTTTGGTAAAATTATGTTGCAGGAGCGCCTAGACCTTGTTCGTGAATTGTGGGCACATAACATTAAAGCTGACTTCATGTATGAAGAACCGACAGATTTTACTCCTGAAATTCTGGCTTCTTCATGCAGGGATAAAGGGATTAATTGGATAATAATAATGAGACATAAAAGTCAAGATTTGTACACTTTGAGAGATGCTGTGACTATTTTCAAAGTAAAGAATTTGATATTGAAAACTGAAGAAGAAGGTAACCAAATGTATAAGTTTTTAAATTGCTATAAACTCATGTGTGAAAATTAATTTTTTTGTTTAATGTTTTGATAGTTCCCCGTAGTGAGCTTTGTGTAAAATTAAATAGTGAAATTCAAGAACAAATGAGAATTGATTTATATGCTTCAGGATCCAAATTCCACAAACATCATCTGATAGCACAGACAGATTGTACGTTGAAAAGTTTTTTGATTCATTTGTATCATAATATTTATGCTTAACTTATCAATTTATTCAACAGTGACACATGATTTCAGCAATACCAATCTGCCATTATCATTAGAAGCGTCTTGTAATCGATCAAAACTATCTATCAAGGCCGTTATACCTTCCACAACAAATAAAGGGAATAAAAAAATGAAACATAAGCAAAAGCAATTACTTATTGATAAAGGTTCATAATGTTACTATATTTTATTTATCTATATTTTTCCTTTCTTTTTGACTCAATTATATTTATTTTTATATAGCGCATGATAACATTTCTGGAATAATAAAAAATATTAACGATGGTAGTGTTCCTGTTGTGGCAATAGACGTAAGTCGTGAATTGCTACGCAAAATCTCAGATTGTGATGTACTAGACGATGAGTCATTTAAATGTAAAAGTATGTTTTACTAGATAATTTCTTTTACTGTTTTATTTATTTAATATTTATTTATTTATTTATTTATTTTATTTTAGTATTTGATATGGTTTCTCCCCAACAAAAAGAATATTTAAGTAGTATTCAAAGTTATCTCAAAAAACTACGAAGCATGGAGGATTGCAAGCATATTTGGTTATATTCACATAGAGATGATTTTGGGTTATTGTATCAATTTTTCTCTTGAATGATTTTTATTTCCAGCTTTTTCATAATTATGAAGAACATTTTTTGGATTATATAGAGACTTTCTATGGCTAATTTCAATTGTTAATAATATATTCTTAAGATTAGTTAAATCTGGCTTGATGAAATTTGAATGTATGAATATATATGTATGTATTTATAGTCAAATAGATTTATTGTAATTATTTTGCGTTATAATTTAAGAGCTATTGTATATTAATAGTGAATGATAGGATTTTCGTATGAAATGCCTGATTTATTTGTTGGTAGACATTAGCGAACCCGATTAAAGAGATAGTAACATTTCTAATTTGGCACTTATAGAGATGTTAACAGTCTTGTTTGTCCAGTCTTTGATGATTTATATTTTTAACTTGAACACATCCGGACCACTTCGGATTGGTCTGGTCTTAAGACTAAGGCCAGACTAATTTTTTCAGTTTCAGACTGGACTGGTCTTAACCCAATTCCAAAATTCAACCAATCAGCGTTATTTAAACTCATCATTTCCAACCAGCAAAGGAATAAATAGGGGCTTTGCAGTAGAAAAGGTCTAAATGCTATATATAATATATAGAGCATTTAGGCCTTTTCTACTGCAAAGACCCTAAATAATCTACTACAACCACAAATAGGGTGCCCTCTTCTCGTGTTTTCAATAGTACGCTTTCATCAGTAATATTTAACGATATAATTTGTCTGAATATTTATATATATTTTTTTAATTACTGTGAAAAGGCACAAAAAACGTTACAAAGTGTTTAGTTACCGTATTTTCGCGTAATAACACCCATCTGCGCGTTATTTTTAGTATATACGCGTTATTTTGAAATAAATAAATTTTTTAAGCATTTTGTAAATAAGTAAACAAGCATACGTGTACGTATAGATAGTCTAATGATTTGAACCGGTTAGGCCTTAATCGGGTAACCGATCTGAACCGAACAAATTCTTGAGTAAAATGCTTAATCGGTTAACCGGAATGATCGGCTCACCCGGCATAATCGATTAATTCGGCATAGTCGATTAATTCGGCACAATCAATTAACCCGGCATAATCGGTTAACCTGGTATAATTGGTATATAATTAGATATATACATTGTAATAGGATAATTTGATCTGAAAACATAGCTAAAGCTATATGAATCGAAATCTTTAATGTAATGATCAGCTAAAGATAATATTAAATAAATGCAATAAAAACATAAATACAATAAAAATTACTTGTTTGTATATAGCATGGCCTCACCTTTGAAGATTAAAATAAATAAATAAATAAATAAATTTGTATATACAGTCGTCTCTCAACCCCGTTAATATCAATCTAGGCTATACAATGAACTTTTATATATTAAAATTATATTGAGATTCCCTCATATATATCAACTTTAATATGTTCCC